GGGCCTCAGGCATGCAAGGCAAGCGCTCTACCACTGAGCCACCTTCCCAGCCCCTTCCTTTTGTTTTTACCATTAGTGATAAATCAATTGTCAGTCTTCCTTCTATAAAACTAGAGGCAAAATATACTATTCTGTTCATCTAAGTCAAAAATAATAAAATGCTATCCAGGAAGCTAATCTGAATAAGGATCATCTACTACTTGTATAAAAAATATTTCTAAAGAAAGGAGAAGAAACAAGAGCTTTGCCAAGCAGGCACACATTTAAAATGAAGTTAACAACATTTTGGACAATGCCCACAGTAGTGGCGCATCTGAAGAGAGGCAGGAGTTGGCTTACTCAATGAAGTAGATCATTCCTGTGTCTGTGTAGGCCATTTCCCAGTTTGGGGGTAGTGGTTCCAGGTTTTCGTCTCTAATCATATAATTTCTAAAGTCCATGGAGCTATTTGTTTGGTTATAACTTGGAACAGTCTTCATCCAGTCTGGTGACTCCGAATGCCTCTCTCTGTTTTCTGCCATTGGACAAAACGGAACAGTAAAGTTACACTTAGTCAAACAACCCTTTTGGTTTCTTACAAAATGCCAGCTATACATGTGTACATAGTATCAGCATTACATGCTGACATTTTACTTGTCTATTCTACATGTCCACATTCTTCTAGACATTCTGAAGTGAGAAATATGCATATTCAATGGTAGTCATTTTCTGTTACTATGAACCCTGTCCTGTGTAGAACCTCTTAACACCAGCAATGCTCACAACTACCCTGTATTATCACCCTTATTTTACAGACTGAACAAAGTAAGCACAGAGAGGTTAACTCATTCAAGGTCACAAGAGAGAGGCAAGAGAGAGACGAGAGGGGAGAGAAAAGGAAGAGAGAGAGTAAGGGTGGGGAGAGAAGGCTAGTACAAGACTGAATTCAGGGCTTGAGTTCTGCCCCTAAGCTTCTTTTGCTCAAGGCTAGCACTCTACCATTTTTTTTTTTTTTTCCGGTCGTGGACCTGAACTCTGGGCCTGGGCACTGTCCCTCAGCTTTTCAGCTCAAGGCTAGCGTTCTACCGCTTGAGCTACAGAGCCACTTCCAGCTTTTTCTGTTTATGTGGTGCTGAGGAATTGAACCCAGGGCCTCATGCATGCAAGGCAAGCACTCTACCACTGAGCCACCTCCCAGCCCCGCACTCTACCATTTGAACCACAGCTTCACCTCCAGCTTTTTTTTTATAGTTAATTGGAGGTAAGAATCTCATGGACTTTCCTGCCCAGGCTGGCTTTGAACCGTGATCCTCAGATCAGCCTCCTGAACAGCTAGGATTATAAGCTTGAGCTACCAGTACTGGGTTACATATTACATCTTAACAACTGATAAAGGAAAAGACAATTGTGTTTTGGGAAAATATGGAGACGAGGCCATGATTTACCTATTATTTATCTGCATACACTCACACTCACACACACACACACACAAAATCTCTTTTTTTTTTTTGGTCGGACTAGGGTTTGAACTCAGGACCTTATCCTTGCTAAGGTTAATCCATAACCCCCCAGCCTTTTTTTCCTTGAAGCTATTTTTTAAGTAGGGTCTTGCCTTTTAGCCTAGGCTGACACTTTCACCTATTCCTCCGCATGGCATGGCACAGCTTGTTAACTGAGGTGGAGCCTCCCTAGGTTTTTGTCTGAACTGGCCTCAAACCACATCTTCCTGATCCCTGACTCCTGAGTAGCTAGGATTATAAGTGTGACTGACTAACAAGGGCCTGGTCAATATATTTGCATTTTTTAAACTATATGTCAAGTCACTGCTTTTGTTTCAAGGGATACAATAATGAACAAAACAAGCAAAACTCTAGCCCTTCAAAAGTATACACACTAATATTTCAAAATCTAAATGAAAAATATTGCTAGTAACCTTTCTAGTAATTTTTACTGATATATTTCCAAATTCTATATACTCTGGCTGAAGGCTGGCTATATTATAAAATATACTTTGCATTTATCCTGTAAAATAAATTTAGATCAGTAAGATTCCTGTATCCCAGCAGCACAGAAGACTCTCAGATACTTTAGGCCAACAGAGTATTGCCATATTGTCTTATTTTTATTACTGATAGCTTATTATTGACTTACCAAAATTGAGATAAGTCTCGCTGGCTTACAAGGTGGTCTACAGAGAAACTGCTCCATACAGTTTTTTTAAAAAAAAAAATCAAAATTGCTGGGCACTGGTAGCTCACACCTGTTACCCTAGTTAACTCAGGAGGCTGAGATCTGAGGATCACAGTTTGAAGCCAGCCCAGGCGGAAGAAGCTCTCATCTCCAATAAACTAATCAGAAAAAGCCTGAACTGGCACTGTGGCTCAAGTGGTACAGCACTAGCTGTGAGCAAAAGCAACTCAGAGACAGCGTCCAAGCCCTGAAGCCAACCCCCAGGACTGGCAAAATAAACAAACAAAAAACAAAAATCACTTATTCTCTCTATATTCCTTGTAAAGTTTTACTATATCCAACTCAATGTTACAGTGGAATCACCACAGAAACCAGAAGTTGTCCATCTAGTTACAAACCTGTGGGTCCACTGCCATTAACAGCGTCTTTGTCTTCATCTTCTTCCTCTTCAGGAAGAGAGCTGTCCATCCTTTCCATCTTGCTGACAGAGGTAGTTCTCTTCCTTTGGGATTCAGTGTCAAAGTCATTGTCAAAGAGAACTTGATCAACAGGGTCTGGCTGGAAAGGGCTGGGCTCTGCTGGAGGCTTGGGGGTTCCATAGAAGTTTCCTAGGTAGACAGACAGGAACCAGTGAAAGCACTAGTACTGAGATCAGTCGCAACAGTACTGCCTAGGGTGTGTCTTGCTGCTTCTCGCACTGAAGGTTTTTTAGTATCTACCCCTGTCCAAAAGGAGACCAAAGCATACCCTAGGAGAGCAAGAAGTAGAAAGTAAAGACCTCATAATCTTGTCCTACATTACCTAACATCTGGACTACGGCTGGAACTACATACAGATTATTTATTTCTACAGGGCTTGCTTTGTACACGGGTTCTCAATTAGGGCCTAATTTGTGAATTTAATATGCTTCATGGAAGACTAGTTGACATAAAAGGCAGAAGTGAATGAAGAAGGATAAAACTAACACAAATCATTTGGTTCTAACAATGAACTATTTTGGTTAAGGAAGGAAATATGTGGGTAAAGGATAAAAGCTCAACTAGTTTACATAAAAATGTAGGCTGTTTCTGAAATTTAAAGAGTTTTCTATGCATTGCAATGATATTATCAGGCAATACAATGAGCAACTACAGCCATTATTAGCCTAATTCAATACAGGCTTACTCTCATAAAAGCAGTAAATATTTAAATTTGCTTTGAGAATCAGCAATTTTAATAGGACAAATAAATCTTCCAGAGTAGAAGAAAAACAAGTGAACACTTCAGTCTGCACAGGCCGGGCTGGCTGCAGTCACAGTTTGTTGCACCTTTGTCAATAATTATGCTAACGCTATACCAAGATAAATAAGAAGTAAAATATTTATGACTTTTCCTTGTCATGTGTAAAAAAAAAGCCATACTTTCTAATCAAATTGTTTGGCAGTAAGTAGACATTAAGATGTTCTTTACATAAAGGAATAAATGAAAATGGATGTTTTTTTTCCTAGATAGAAAACAAATTCTGGACTGGTCCCACAATACAGACTTAGAAATTAAGTAGTGTACTAAACAAGGGATGTTTAAGTGAAAAACATTACAGTGGATGTTTTGGAAGGCTGTGAGTAGTAACTATCATGAAAATATTCAAGACAAAACAAGGAAATCAAACCACCGACTTCTGCACTAGGTCTGCCTTTCCCCTACTACTTCCTTGCTTTCAAGTTTGAAGGAGATCACTTATCTTATTACAGACAAATGCAAAGTCTGTGGTAAAACAGACCAGGCCATCCAGAAGTCTGTAAGGAAAGGAAAGGCCTTGGGGAAAAGCAGGGTCACAATTCTCTGGGCAAAGAGCACAGAAATATTCTAAACAGAGGTTTGGAAGAAAATGTTCTTGTTTTATGCCCAATAATCATACAATCAAGGAATCTTATGTTTCATGAAGAACAGAAAGCCCATCCATCTAAGGATACTCATGGTATCCCTAGGGAACACACCGCTGTGAAAGCGGAGTCATTACCATCTAATTCTAAGAGGTTTGACTTCCCCTGAAATGGAAAATTGCTATCCACAGTCACTGTAAAGATTTGTCTTCAGAATGCACTTTGTTTTTCAACTTGTTCTAAACACAAAAAGATAATTATTGGGCTTAGATTAAATGCACACAGGCACACACATGCGCTCACACACATGCACACATGCGCGCTCACACACACATGTGCACACACACACTTGCCTATATCCGAGGCCCAAATTGATCCCCCGTACCACCATCACAAAAAAGATGATGAAGGGAGTAGAGGAGGGTGGAGGAAGGGCCAGAAAGGGAGAAGGAAGGGGAGAGAGAAAAGCTACTGTCATTTATAACTTTTCTCCCCTTTAATTATTGCAAATATCAAGATCTCAGCTACAGGCACAAATATTTAAGATTTGTGAACCCTACCTATAATGGACAGAAAAAAGGTTTAATAACTTAAGAAATGCTTTCACTTTTTTTTTCTTCTACAAAAACCTTTTCATTTTTACAACACAACTATCCAATATCTCATACATATACAACACTGGCTAATGCTATCAGTCATATAAAATTTCTATTTTACTTATATGCTTACTTATTATATGAGCATATACATTACTTATTTACAACTTATCTTCCAGGTATTATTGCCAAATCTCCTTGAAATTTTGTTTCACTTTAAGGACATGCCTGCATATGGTCACATATACAATTGAGCCCTTAATTGCTTTTTTAAAAATTTATTGTAGAGGTGATGAGCAGGGATGTTACAGTTACACAAGTAGGGTAATGAGTACTTGTCTTTTTAAACACTGTTACCCCTATCTCATTTTCTCCCCGTTACCACCCCTCCCTGCCCCAAGTTGTAAAGTTCACTTCCAACATAGTGTCTAGTGAGTATCATTGTTGCATTAGTTCATCCTTTGTCCTGATGTTCCTGTGATTCCTTTCCCTTCCACAGATCTGATAAGCTTATAAGTAAGATAAAAGCTACATAAAACTAAAACAGAAGAAAAAAATAGAAATAACTGCATACAGGACATAATAAGAACCTCTTATTTCTAATTCTTGAATTCATTTTGATATGCTTCATTATATATGGTCCTATGTACTTAGCAATTGGGCTATTGTGATCCCCTGCTAAAAATATCATACATAATTATTACAAATGAGAAAAAACATGAAACCTGTATTTCTAGGCCTGGCTTGCTTTGCTAAATATAATGTTTCCAGGTCTTTCCATTTCCTTACAAATGGGGCAATGTCATTATTTCTGATGGAAGTATAGAACTCCATTGTGTATATATACCACATCTTCTTGATCCATTCATCTACCAAGGGGCAGCTGAGTTGGTTCTGTATGTTAGCTATGGTAAAAAATAATGAACATGGTTGTGCTGGTAGCTTTAGTGTGGGCTTGTTTGTGAGCATTTGGGTAAGTGCCCAGCAATGGGATTGCTGGGTCAAAGGGGAGCTCTATGTGAGTCTTTTGAGGAAGCTTCATACTGCTTTCCAGAGTAGTTGAACAAGCTCACACTCCCACCAACAGTATAGTAGTGTTGTTTTCTTCTGGCCACATCTCCACCAGCATCTGTTGTTATTAGAGTTCTTGATCATAGTCATTCTAACTGGGGTGAGGTGGAATCCCAACGTTGTTGTTGTTGTTTTGGGGGGTCCAGTCGTGGGGCCTGAACTCTGGGCCTGTGCGCTGTCCCTCAGCTCTTCAGCTCAAGGCTAGCGCTCTACCACTTGAGCCATAGTGCCACTTCTGGCTTTTTTCTTTTTGCTTATGTGGTGCTAAGGAATCGAACCCAGGGCCTCATGCATGCAAGGCAAACGCTCTACCACTGAGCTACCTTCCCAGCCCCTCAATGTTGTGATTTGCATTTCTTTTATGATCAGAGAAGTTGAACATTTCGTCATGTGTCTATTGGCCATTCTTATTTTCTCTTCAAAGAAGTCTCTCATTTAAGTCTTTAGCCAACTTGTTAATGGGGCGGTTGTTTCTTTGATGATTTGCTTTGGGGGAATTTTTTGAGTTCTAAGTATATTTTAGATATGAGGCCCTTGTCTGTTATATGGCTAGTGAAGATCTTCTCCCAATCCATGGGCTTTCTATTGATCTTGCTAGTTATGTCCTTTGCTATGTAGAAGCTCTGCAGTTCAATGCAATCCCACTTATCCAACTTTTCTTTGATTTGTTGTGTTTCTGTGTCTTCATAAAGACAGCTTCAACCTGTGCCAGTAAGCCTTAGAGTTCTCCCTATTCCTTCCTGTAATATTGTCAGGGCATCTGCTTTTACTTCCAGGACTTTAATCTATCTGGAATTGATTCTGGTACAAGATGATCTATAAGGACCTAACTTCAGTTTTCTACATGTGTATAGCCAGTTCTGCCAGCACCATTTGTTGAAGAGGCTTTCTTTCATCCTGCTTTTTTGGTTTCCTTATCAAAATTAGGGGGCCATAGGTCTTTAAGTTCATTTCTGGGTCTTCAGTTCTATTCCATTGGTCCTTAGGCCTATTCTTGTGCCAGTACCAAGCTGTTTTTTATTACTATATAGCTTCACAGTAGGAGTTTGAAGTTTGGTATTGATATTCCTCTAGCACTAGTCTTCCTGCTGATTGTTCTGTTATTTGGGGCCTTTTATTATTCAATATGAAATTTTGGATTGCTTCTGCTATTTCATTAAAGAATGATGTCGGGATATTGATGGACATTGCATTGGATTTGTAGATGTCCTTTGGCAATATTGCCATTTTCACAATGTTACTACTCCCAATTCAGGACTATAGGAGGTTTTTCTACTTCCTTAAATCTGCTTTAATTTCCCTTTTTAGGTTTCTAAAGTTTTCGTTATAGAGATCCTTCACTTCTTTTCACTTAATTCCTAGGTATTTTGGGGAGAGCTATTAGAAAAGGTGTTGTTTTCCTGATTTCAGTTTGCTCTTTTCATTGTTGGCATACAGAAAAGCCACTGATTTTTGTGGATTAATTTTATACCCTGCTATTTTGCCAAAGTTTTTGATCAGCTCAAGTAACTTGGCAGTAGAGTTCTTTAGATACAGGATCATGTCTTCTGCAAAGAGGGGGAGTTTTACTTCTTTCCCTAATTGGATCCCCTTTATGTTTGCCTCTTGCCTTAACTGCTCTAGGTAGGAATGCTAAAACTATATTGAAGAGGAGTGCAGAGAGTGGACATCCTTGTCTTGTTCCTGATTTTAGAGTAATAAGCCCTTTCTTACTTGACCCATCCCTTAAGCTATCCTGAAGTGGACCTGTGTCATTCTCCCAAATACTGTATTCTCTAGGATGTGTGTGTAAATAAATGCATCCACACATGTAATTGTTTTCAATAAAAGCTTCACAGTGTCTTCATGTTTCACACTTTTTAAAAGTAGAATATTACACTAATTCCTCTATAGCCTTCTGTTTATAATTCTAAAACTTCTTCAGCATAATACATATTTCTTTTTTGGGGGGAGGCCGGTGTGAGGCTTGAACTCTGGGCTTGGGTGCTATCCCTCAGCTCTTCAGCTCAAGGTGAGCGCTCTACCACTTGAGCCACAGCACCACTTCCAGTTTTCTAGTGGTTTATTGGAGATAAGAGTCTCATGGACTTTCCTGCCCAGGCTGGCTTTGAACTATGATCCTCAGATCTCAGCCTCCTGAGTAGGTAGGATTATAGTCGTGAGCTACCGACGCCCAGCTTTCTTTTTTCTTTTCTTTTCTTTCTTTTTTTTTTTTTTTAAGTACTGAGGATCAAACCCAGAGCTTTGCACCTGGCTAGCCCACCACTCTACCATTGAGCTGTATTCCCAGCCCTTGGGTTTTGGACATGGTCTCCTAACGTAGTTCAAGCTGGCCTTGAATGTGTTAGTGTAGACCAGGCTGGCCTAAGACTCTTGATTCTCATGTCTCCACCTACCGACTAATCGGATTGCAGATGTGTACTACACATTGGTCCATAATAGCCCATTTTTATGAAATACAAATTAAGGTGTCTTGTATCCATTCTCTTACTAAAAGAGAGTTGTTTCCATTTCAAACAGTGCTATAATGGTTACTCTGGTGCTGGCTGACACAAGAACACAAGCAATGAATTCTCTAGGGAAGGTAATGTATCATTTTATAAAATCTTTGCCAGAAATGTATGGAAGGTTCTATTTCTTGCAATTATCAAACTTCTGTATTTTTGCCAATCTGATGAGTGGAGAATGATGCCTAATTGTTTACATTGCATTTCCTCTGAGCCAAGCATAGAGCACACAGTAAGAGGCCACTCTGTCATAAAACAAGTCCTCATGTTTCATCAAAGAAAATGTAGGCAAAATCCTTATGACTCAAAAGCAGGAGAATGTATAAATAAAACTTTCAAAGCATAGATATTAAGAAAAAGTGTTAAAATTGATATATAAAAAACTTATATATATGATCAAGGAATCTTATTTTCCATGAAGAATGGAAAGCCCATCCATCTAAGGATACTCATGGTATCCCTAGGGAACATACTTGGCTGTGAATGCTGAGTTATTACTATCTAATTCTAAGAGGTTTAACTTTCCTTGAAATGGAAAAATGCTATCCAGAGTCACTGTAGGGGTAAACATGATAAATAAGGAATTACATTTCATGAAGAAATATGGGATAAGGTTAACAGGTGACAGAATGAGAAAAAAACGTCTATGCCAGGTAAGAGATTAATCAACCTCCATATATCAGACACTGATTGAAATCTAGGTTTCAAAAGGAGAAAACAAACAAATGTATAATTTGCATAAGTTCTAAAGACATGACTAGATGTTCAAATTCTCTGACTACCAGAGACACTAAAGTTAAAATTAGATACCATTTCTACAACCATTAGGTTGGCAAAACGATGAAATTGGATATGCCAAGTGTTGAGACTGAGAAGCCATTAGTAAGGCCTGTGTGCTGCTGGGGGAAGGAGAAGACTGCAGAGCATTCCACTCATCTGACTAGTACGCAGATATTGTGTTCAACTAAACAATTCTGCTCTTTTTTAAATTTTTTTATTGTAAAAATACTGTACAGAGGGGTTACAATTACATGGGCAAGATAATGCATTTTTGCTCTTTTGAAATTATGCAAAAATACTCAGTGCAGCTTCATTAGTGGAGATGAGGACTGTCACACAATGCCTTCATACTTCAGACTACAGCTCGGAATCATACATAGTATGATTGCATACGTAGTATAGTACCCCAGAGGAATCTAAAATTTACAGTAATAAATGAAAAAAACTGAATGATACAGAACATAGTTTAGATGTAAATAATAAATATGCACACAAGACACAACACACATTTTGTGAGCACACACATAAAGAAGCCATACACATTAAACACTTCAGAACAGTTAAGTATAAAAAGGAGGCTACTTACATAAAAGTGAAAACAAGTAGGTAGCTACACATTTTTCTGGGAAATCTTCACTAGCTATCTTATCTAAACAAGATATACCTTTTATTTTCTTCAAATCTTTGCTTCACTTTGTCTTATCCTCTCCACCTAATTTGTTGTGTAACTGCCTTCCCCACTAAGACACAGGATTCATTAGGGAAACAGCACCTCGGTCAGTGTCCCTACCTCATACACAAAACAGGTCCTCAACAAAGGGTTGCTGAATAAAACAGTATCACATACACGAATAAATGAATAAATGAAGGATGGGTGCTAAGCCCAGAAAGAGAAGCTAAGTTAAACTTAGAAGACCAAGGGCTTGACTGAATGCTCTGACCAGGAGATGTGATCAGAGCTGTTCCTGAGGGAGATTGACGTGGTACCGAAGGGCAGGGTAGACTCAGGAAGGAAGAGCTAAGCAGAGACATTCATGGCAAGAGTCCAGACTCAGCCAGGGTCCCGCTATGAGATGGCTGGAGTGAATAGCAGGGCTCTATGGATGTCTCTGCAAATAAAGGGATGTTGAGCTCTGATAACTGACTGATGAGGAACAGGAGGAAAGAGGAAGTAAATGATGGTGCTGCTGTGGGAGAGAAATTATGGGGAATTACTGGCTAGAATGCAAATGCATGTGTGGATATAGCTCATTCATGGCCAGATATTCATTAAGCATTGTCTTTAGGAACTGAGGATTACAGAGTAAGAGAAACATGGTCCCCCACCACCACAGAGTTTGGAGGACAGGCAACTGTAACAGTCTGACAAAGCCATGGTGGGGAAGGGTGTGGCCCTGTGGAAATGGACAGGCTTGCCAGTTAAAACCATGGTAGGTGAGAAAAATTGCTAACAAGGATCATTTAAAAGTTGAAATATGATCTTGAATTTGTATTTTCCTGAATCAAGGGGGTAAACAGATACAAAAAGAAAACCAATTATCCTGTTTTTGCTGCCCCCTATGTATAGTTTTGTTTTCTCCAAGAGATTCAAACTACATACAGGGATTTTTGTTTTTGTTTTTTACTGTATAAAGATTTGGGGTTCTCAATCATAAACAGAAAAGCTATTCACAAAAACTTGCTGAGTTCAGATAATGGACATTTCTATGAAATACATAAACTAGCCAGTTTTGATTTAAAATAAGAAATGCTCTAGAAAAGAACAGTTTTCTAAGAACGGTTAAAAATGGTATTTTACTGTTTGAATTCTCTCTGAAATAACTGCAGTCACATGGGTGGTCATTTGGGGACATACCATCATACGTTCCACTCTCTAACAATGCGCCACTCTCCTCCAGTGCTTTGAACTGGTCAACAGAAATGAAATTATAGTCCACCCCTGGGACTTCCCCATCCCTGGGGGCCCTTGTAGTGCCTATGGAAAAAAAGAAGAAAAAAAATATGTACACATTTTAAAATGCTTTTTAAATTACAAAAGATCCAAAATAATAGAAAACTCAGGTTTATGGAGAACACACTGGAGAGCCAGCTAACTACATCCTAATTTCTGGAACGAGGATTAGAAGGTTAATATTATACTAATTTTAATGTATTATTCAGTGAAAGTAGTACTATAAATGTAGAATGAGTAAATGCACCTTAATAAACTAGCCATGAAATTTAAAACTATAAGAACCCTAAGATAATTTCAGTACCAAAAAGGCTTAATTTCCCAACATATAAAAATTGATTCTTTTAAAACATCCATTATCATTACTTAACAGCAAGAAGAGATAAATAACAGGCGTTATTCTCTACTCCAACTACATTAGAATATATGGTTGATGAATAAAAACTAAACATAAATATGGCTTACAATGTGGTGTTCAAATAATTATTCTGCATACACTTTTTCCTTTCCTAGCAAAAGTAAAAACAACTTTTCTTTACTAGAGTTATCAAAGATTATAAAAGAGAGAGAAACAATGTCTATAAATTCTTTCAGTAAGCTTTAACATGTGAACAAACATTGACTATGATGTTATTTTAGACTAATGAATAAAAAGAATTAAGATAGGCATTCACATACTGCTTCATCATTATTCTCTTCAAGTAATTTCCAACAACTTAGAGGTAAGTAAACTTTTACAGACACTACTGTAGACACATACATTTCTATACTAAGATGGAACTCATGCTAAAGTAAAATCTTTGTTTCAGATTCAACATACAACTCAGATTATGGCAGCATTGCTACATTTGACTGGATTGTCCTAAATGAAACTCAGTCACTTTCTTTCTTTCTTTGGCCAGTCCTGGGGCTTAAACTCAGGGACTGGGCATTAGCCTGAGCTTCTTTTATTAAAGGCTAGCATTCAACCACTTGAGCCACAGTGCCACTTCTGGTTTTCCTGTTTATTCAGTACTGAGGAATCAAACCCAGGGCTTCATGAGTGCTAGGCAAACACTCTACCGAGCCACCTTCCCAGTCCTCAATCACTTTTATGAATTGAAATTTGACATGTCATTTCAAATCCTTTGCAGTACAAAAGGAGATCACAGGACTTTAGTCTGAGATGCACAAGACCAAAACTGTCCTCCACTTAGATCCTCATCTGAAAGTCTGTCACCTCAGTGCCTCCCTCTGTTCTATATCCAGTAACCAAAGCCAATTGCTTTCTCCTCTTAAATACTTCTGGATGGTCCTCTTTTTTCCCACAACCACCTAACTGACATCTGTGGCCCATGATGTTGGATCTCTAGTTTAATCCTTGCTTTCCCTGGCTACACATCTCACCACACTATAGCTGGTGACTTTCCTGAAATAATCTGAGTAAAAACAACAACAAATCCTCTCTCAGCTCCTCTAGAGCATCCCACGAATCCAGACGCTGCAAGAAGACCTGCAGTGGCCAGCTGCCTCACCTCTTTCTACTCAACCCACCAGAGACTTTTATTCAGTTCCTCTCACACTCCCGTTGTACTCACCTCCAACACGCAAGTCCTTCCCCCTCTCACTACAGGACTCATACTCCTTCCCCTCTGTGGCTCACCTCTCAAGTCTTGGCTCACAGAGTTGCTTCCTAGAACCTTCCCGACCCCACCTAGGGTGTGGTGACAGGCAGGAACTGTGTCTATGTGACCCAGCCCTAAGTTGAGTTCATTGCAATGATTGTAACTGACAGATAAGTGAACATATATAAATTTAAACCAACTCAACAGTATTATGTTATTACAAATTTATTCACCAGAAACTCATATTTGCTTTTTTTATTTTTATGGGTCCTGGGACCTGGGTGTTGTCTCTGAGCTTCTTTTGCTCAAGGCTATCATTCCACCACTTGAGCCACAGGGCCACTTCTGACCTTTTCTGAGTAATTTACTGGGGATAAGAGTCTCATAAGACTTTCCTGCCTGGGCTGGCTTCAAACCAAAGATCTTCAGATCTCAGCCTCCTGAGTAGCTAGGATTACAGGCATGAGCCACTGATACCCAGCTTGTTCCTACTTTTAATATTCCGTAATGTAAAAAATCCACAAAGATTAGTGATAACACATATATAATGGTTTGAGAAAATAATAGCTAAGTCAACATTATGCGGATTGTACTAAATTTCCCTCTGTATTTTTAACTCCACACTTTTCTACAGTATTTTTTTTCGGTTGGTCGTGGGGCTTGAATTCTGGGCTTGGGTGCTGTCTCTGAGCTCTTCAGCTCAAGGCGAGGGCTCTACCGCTTGAGCCACAGCGCCACTTCCGGTTTTCTAGTGGTTTATTGGAGATAAAGAGTCTCACGGACTTTCCTGCCCAGGCTAGCTTTGAATCGCAATCCTTAGATCTCAGCCTCCTGAATAGCTAGGATTATAGGCATGAGCCACCGGTGCCTGGCTTCTACAGTATTTTTTAATCTGTTCGATATTAGAGGGTAAAGAAGCTGGAGAATATAACTTCTTTAACATTACATTTTTAAATTTTCAAGTTGTTTATGTATCTCATATATTAAGTGATTGTTAGGAGTCTCTAAATGAACAGCTTTTAGTTTTCATATTAAATAAGAATGAATTTTAGGAACTAAACTCAATGGATAAAATTTTAATTATCTGTGATATATGGAAAAACAGAGCACAATATTTCTTTCATACCATGTCTCATTAAGAGTTGGGGGCCTCCATGGTTTCCCTTATTTGCAATATCTAGTATATGTATGAGTCAAGAGGAAAAGGTCAGATAATGTGATGTCAGGAAAATGAACTCTTAGATATGTATTTTAATGTTTTTTTCTTTCATGCATGTGTTTCTAACGCATTTATAAGATTATTTCTTTGTTGCTTTGTATGTCCCTCCCCCACAGT